CTTCCTCTGCCGATGAGCATCTAGGCTGGTTCCATTTCCGTGCTGTTGTGAACAGAGCAGGAGGAGCATGACTGTGCATGTATCTCTGTGGCGAGGTGTGTGCCCGGGAGTGGAATAGCTGTGTCATTAAATAAACAAACAAACAAACCTCCAAATGCGGCGATTTTCTTCATAAACAAGCCAAACACAGTGTCTTGCCAGAGACCTGCCAGAAAAATGCCCCCTGCAGAAACAGCGCTAAGCATGTTGTAGGTTTTGGCGGCATTCCGCGTGACCAGCCATAGAGAAGTCTCCTTTAAAGAGTGGAAGATTCTGAGACCGCTCCCCTTGAGGAAGGAATGAAGGAATGTCTTTGGCCCTACTGGTTATCTATCCTGCAGGAGGATCAGTGAGGAGAGCCGTGATGATGCCGGAGGAACGCTTCTTTAAACGGTTCGATGGCGCCACCAAGTGGCAAGATAGTATAATACAGCCCTGGAGCCTGTACTTAAAAAAATTCAATGTTACAGTCTTTTTTTTTTTTTTTTTTTTTTTTGGTTTTTCGAGACAGGGTTTCTCTGTGTAGCTTTGCGCCTTTCCTGGAGCTCACTTGGTAGCCCAGGCTGGCCTCGAACTCACAGAGATCCGCCTGGCTCTGCCTCCCGAGTGCTGGGATTAAAGGCGTGCGCCACCACAGCCCTGGAGCCTGTACTTAAAAAAATTCAATGTGGGGCTGGAGAGATGGCTCAGAGGTTAAGAGCACTGACTGCTCTTCCAGAGGTCCTGAGTTCAATTCCCAGCACCCACATGGTGGCTCACAGCCATCTGTAATGAGATCTGGCGCCCTCTTCTGTATACATAATAAATAAATAAATCTTTAAAAAAAAAAAAAATATGCTTTCCCTAAATATTTAAAAAAAAAAAAAAAAAATTCAATGTGAGAGCATGGCGTGCTTGTGGAGATCAGAGAACAAGTTGAAAAGAGTCAGTTCTCTCCTTCCACCAATGTGAGTCTCGAACTCACGTTTTCAGTATGGTAGCAAGCACTTTGACCTGCTGAGCCGTCTTGCCGGCCCAGGCCTGTAGATTTTTCAAGCAAATGCAAGGACGGTATCTTTCTGTTTGTGAACTGTGGTCACAACCATTGCTTCCCTGCAGGAATGTAAGAGGCATCTCAGAAACAGCTTTTCTTCTGCACGTTGGGGCTCACACTGTGGTGAGAAAAGCCCCAGTACTAAGTCTTCACAGCCTAACTCACGGACCTTGGATAAGACGATATCATCTCTGAATGGGTCCACCTTCTCCCCACTTTTTTCAAAAACTCTTCCGTGTTTTAAACATACTCTGAGAAACGTAATCGTTTTCATGATTTTTTCTATGGCAGCTCCTAATTCAAACTGATGTCAGTCCAGCTGAAGGAAAAGCACACTAGCATTCTGACACGGTCCCCTGGATGACAGTAAAGAAAAATGTCACTGCAGCCTGCAGTCGTGGGCGTCCCCAGGACTCAGGGAGGACCAAGCCGTTCAGTGGGTGGTCACCACACTCAGCGGGGTCGGGGCTTAGCCTGGCTCAGCCAGCGGCTTTTGTAGAGGCCCGAAGACCAGAATGAGAGAAAACCGAAGGCCAAGCTCTAGGGGGAGGGGTTTCTTCCACAGGAAAGGATCGGGGAATGGGGTCACAAAAGGCTCACGTCCTAAAGGAGCTGTGGGATTACAGGCAGCTCTGGGGGGTGGGGGGGGGAACGCAATAGCCTGATTTGGCCTAAGGACACTGCAGGGTTGCAGCTCCAAGGGCGAGGGGGGGGAATGGGGACCGGTGAAAATTTCAGAAATGGCCTGCCACCATCTATAATTAATACATGAGTCAATTAAGTTCCAAGTTATCACTCAAGTGCATGTGTATTACTGGCTCAGAAACCCCACCCCTTCCTCTCTTTCTTGGAGCACTGATCCACTGCCAGTAATTACAGGGTTAATTATAAAACCGCAGTCACATTTATACTTGGAATTACTCTTTCTCTCAAATGCACAGTCTGTCGTCAAATGCTAACTCAACATACAAGAACCCTTGGTTTTGTTTTTCATTTCCTTGCTTGTTTATACCCCAGGCTAGCCTCAAACTCACAATCCTCCTGCCTCAACCTCCCAAGTGTCGGGATTACCTTGGTTATACCACCATGCCCAGTTCACGGGAGCCTCTGGAAACTTGAGGCGGGAACAGTAGCTTTTTCTTGGGCATCTCTTGAGTAATTTCCTTTCCTTGAGGAAAGCGCCTGGCTCTTTCAGCATGTATGTATGTATTCTTGCTGTCGGCACGGGCTTTCTGCTCCAGCACACATCCAGCTCCCTGAGCCAATCTCTCCTCTGCTCCCTCTGGGCAGCCTCCCCTGCCTCTAAACGCAGTGCTAGGGTATTTATCAACAGAAAACTCTTCCCCAGGTGGCTACCTGCCAACAAGGACTAAGTGGCTGCTGTTGGGTTTGTGCTTCTGAACCTCATCTCTATAGGAAGAGATCAGAGGGGAGAATTAACATGTATTGAGTCTGCGCATCTAGGAATCCATTTAACCTTCCCTTGATCTACTGACTATCAGTACATCTTACAGGGGAAGAGACTGGGGACCTGTGTGTTGCTTGGTTAAGCCAACATTCCCTGAAGCTGTGTTTCCAGGCACTGGTGATGCATGAGTAAACAGCAGGCACAACCCCGCCCTCTTGGATTCCATAGGATCTTGCCTGGGATGACCCAGGAGGCAGAAATGAAGTCGATGGACTATTCCACTGGTGGAGAAGGGTGCTGTGGCTGGTACAGGGGGAAGACGGGGTTATGTATGCCTTCTTTTGGAGTTACAGAAGATATCCCCCCAAACAGACATTTCACCTAAGACAAGATGCTCTTGGAATTCCTGTGGGTGGACAGTAAGGGGGCAGAAGTGAGACTTCAACATGTCTGACCCGGGTTCCAACATGCTTCATGTCTTTCTCAGTAAGTAAATACTTGAGGTGACATTACTCCAGCTTGTGACCCACCACATTTCTTCCTCCCTAGGAGACTGTAGGTCCTTGAGAACATGAGCCCTGCCTCCTACGATGTGGTCCAATTAGTAAGCACAAGTAAATGATCCTTAGGGGTTCTGCACATGCATTTGTTTACTGGCTGTAATGCAGTAGGAAATCGCCCGTGTTTAATAAGCAATGTCAGAGTGCCTCGATTTCACACTGTGTGTTATTTCTTTAACCCACACAGTGTGTATGGTTTTCACACAGAGCTCTGAGCACCAGGGCACTCCCACACTGACTCCTTTGACGCCGGTGTTTGCTGTTTTATTGTCTGGGATGACCCGGGTCAGCATTCAAGAGCAGCTGAGTCAGTTCAGCAGCAAGTGGAACTCAGAACTCACTCATCTAATTAAAATGACTTAGTCCTGTCTCCCCCAAATGCTGACAAGCTCCAGGCTCCTTTTCAGCCTGCAGCCCACACTGTTCTTAAAGTGAAAAAAGAACTCCCTTGTGCCAGCATTGTGAGAAAGATTGGGGAGACAAACCAAGGTGAAAGCCTGTGTACAATTGCAATGAGTGTTTTTTCTTCCTGCCATTTAGTGAGTCTCAGTCTAGTGGGAACACCTCTCCAACAAATCCACTGTGGTGATATTCTGCTCCCCAAAATATTGTGCACCCTAATAAACTAATCTGGGGTCAGAGAACAGAACAGCCGCAAATATAGAGGCCAGAAAATGGTGGCACACACTCCTTTAATCCTAGCATTCCAGAGGCAGAGATCAGCCTGGATCTCTGTGAGTTCAAGGCCACACTGGAAACAGCCAGGTGTGGTAATAAGAGCCTTTAATCCCAGGAAGTGATGGCAGGAAGCAGAAAGGTATTTCAGGAGTGAGGACGAGGAACTAGAGCCTAGTTAAGCTTTCAGGCTGTGAGTAGCAGTTCAGCTGAGATCCATTTGGATATGAGGACACAGAGGCTTCCAGTCTGAGGAAACAGCATCAGCTGAGGAATTGGGGAGGTGATGTGGCTGTGGCTTGTTCTGCGTCTCTGATCTTCCAGCGTTGACCCCAGTACCTGGCTCCAGGTTTGTTTTTATTAATAAGACCTTCTAAGATTCATGCCACAGTCCGCATCTCCTAATCCTTCCCAATTAGTTCCACCAAATGGGACAAAATAGTCAAGCATATTAGCCTATGGGATCCATTGTCATTGAAACTACCACACACCCAGAGCCAGTACGCCTTACACAAAAGTCAAGGTGTGCCTAGGTGAAAGGCATGACCACCTCCAAAGGTGGGTATGAGGTCTTTCAGCCAATTGATGTCATCATGTCTGAACTGGAAAGATGAATGGCCATTAGCCAGGTAAAGAGGGTAGAGATGAGATGGGATAGGAACGGGCCAGCCTGTGCAGAGTCTCAAGGAGAAGAAAGGCTGGCACATTTGGGATCTACAAGTTCCCTCGAGAGTCAGGCAGGTGGTAATGAGCATAGGTGGACTGCAAGCTAGACTCTGGGATTTCTTCCTTTCCTCTTCCTGCTTTTCTTGACTTGGACAAGATTACATTCTTCATTTTTTCCCATCTTTGATGGAAACTTAGTCAAATGGAAGATGTTTTCTAGTCTACAAATAGCAACCCAAACCTGTTATCATACCAGTTGGCAAGTGGTTCTCGGCTCTCCCTGGGGAGACAATGGGAAGAGGTGGGGATGAACACTGGAGCCCGTTCTCTGTCCAGAGAGGAAGACTGTTCTCCAATTCCCAGTGCTCAGTGGCTCCAGATCTTCCTCCTCCCCCTCCCCAGAAAAGACAAGTCGCTTGGATTTGGGGCAAGAGAGTAAAATATTTTAAACAGTGTCTTAATACAAGAGAGAGCGGGAGGGAGACTAAATGGAACATGGCTCAGGCTTTGCAACCTTTGGTTTAAAGGCTCCGGGTAAATGCCCCCACCCCCACCCCCGTGCATTTCCATATTGCTCTGCTTACTGTCCCCTAACAGCCCCTCTCTCCTTGCTTTCCAGAAAGAGATGACAACCAGGATGTGTCACTAACATTCCACCTCATCTTCCGGAAGAAAGGAGCGCCGTCTCTCCCAGGAATCCCCATGGGACAGGAAGTGGCCCTCCCCGGCTGAAGTGGTCCCTACTTCCAGGAGCAGGAAGGCTGGAGCCCCACGCAGACTTCTGAGAGATGTCTCCTACCCACTTCGTGCGCTCTTAACCCTCTAAGTGCTGCTAGCCAGGGCTGGTGGGCCAGGCAGACCACAGCATGAAGGACCAGCTTGCCGCCTTAGGCTGAGGACGGTGCGGGAGAGGCCTCGCGCTTCCTCCACCTCTGCCTGTGACCTGCCCCCAGGCTTCACTGGAATTCAGGTTTTGAGACTGAGAGGTTTTTTGTCTTTGTTGTTCTTTTCCACTTAAGTCTTAACTAACTTCTCTGTCATTTATTTTTCTAAGTACCAAGCAAAGTTGGGGAATACCATATAAGCAGTACCTTTTCCTATCCCACCTCTCCCACCGGAGTCCCGGAGTCCCCGGAACCCCGGCTCTGGGCCTGTGGCTTAACCTTGCATGGGGCTCGGAGCTGGGAGGGGCCTGCAGTTCTCCTGGCAGCGTCCATGGCTTTTCCCTCATAGGCGGTTTCACCAGGGACCACCTGATGGGGTGCGTGATCTGTGCCCCAGGCAGGCCATTCACATGCTCACCACTGGGGAGATTCTGGGACTGGAAGTGAGCTGGTGCATTACCACTCTGCCCTGGTCAGGATGGATCCTAACAGTCATTTCTAAACTCTTCCATTGAGATGTACTTTCCCATTTCCCAGAAGAGAGAAATAAAGTTACAAATGACCCCTGGGATCTTGAGCCAGATTAGTGCGGTGTTTGTTCTCCACTGAGGGGTAGTGAGTCCTGGCTACCCAGACATATCACACAGTACTGGGATTTCAGTGACAAGAGCAGAAATCTGGTACGTGTGGATCAAACACACTTGTCTTGTAGCCTGCCCAGCTTGACCCCAGAGCTTCTGAACTCAGCTGATGGTTTCTCTCTTCTCTTCCTCTGATCCCTGGTTTCCTTCCCTGTCCCACCCATTCTTTGTCCATCTCTTTATCATTCTCTCTTCTCTATGATCTCCACTCTCTATTCTCTCCTCTCCCCCCTCTCTATGTAGGGCTCTCTCTCTCCTCTCCTCTCCTCTCCCCTCCTCCCCCCATCTCCTGTATTGTATGTTAATGACACAAAGTTCATTTCTGTCTAGTGGCTGTGCTACAGTCGCTAAGGTCTCCCTTCTATCTGTTCAATGTGTTCCTTCCAGCAGTCAGAATAACCATTCTGTGTTATCTCCTGCCTTTGGAAGCTTTCGTAAATGAAATGTTGCCTTCTCTGATTCATTCACAAAACTGTGGTTCTGACAGATTGACTAAGAAGTACTCATACTTCCCATGATATTTGATTTTAATAAAGTGTGTATTGGTGGAGGGAAGTAGATATGAATGTACTCTTGCAGTTAATGTAATAACAAAAGATGACTAAGCTAGTCTGATGTTATTTAGTATATATAATATGTTAAAGCCATTTGTGAGTGCCACAAAATCCTAGAAAGTGTGACATATTTGCCTAATGATGAAAAGGCTCACTGTATGGACAGTGACATTCTACATGGTGGAACCATGCTGAGAACAACCCTTACTTCCTGTCTCATGGATGTTGTCTTATGAAACCCAACACTACTACTTCTCTGATCTACAGGAACTTTCTCTTTTCTCCCTAAGTAACTTTTAGAGACCAAGATAGGCAATTTGGCCTAAAAGCGTATCTGTCTAAGGGTCCAGAGAGAGGAAGCCCTGAATTCCTGACCTAGGCAATGCACAGTAGTAACACACTTCATGGGTGTGCGGGATGATGGCAATGAGAAATGGCAGGCCATGGCCTTGGGGAGCCTCTGCTGCCTTGTCCCTTGACCAACTGCAGGACTCACGCGGTAGGAAGTTGAGTGTGTGCCTGCATTCCAGTAATGCTCAGCCCATGGGGAAGCCTGACTCCAAAGGCATTCAGCATTTATCTCTAGTTATTTTCTATCAATTGTTTGTGTATGTGAAATTTCTATCCAGCTTTAAAAAATCTAAATATTTTTTTAACTTCTTAAAATGATTTTTCTCTGGCTTGTATTGTTAATTGCACTAATCAGCTCTTGGAGGAAAGTCTAGACAATTGCTCTGCCTTTTTAAAGTATAATGTGTTCATATTTCTACAGAACTTTGTTTGGCAAATTCTAAAGAAAAATCTTCCTGGGCTGTTTCTAAGCCTTTGACTTGACCTAATCTTCCATACGTTTGTATTGTGATTAGAAGAACCTTACAGCCCCAGGACAGCTCCAGACCTGTTTCTGTCTCCTAACCTTGTTGTTGTACATTTATTTGAACTCTGGGAAAATTCACAGTTAAGATTCCGAGCACCCTATGTCCTTTAGGGTAGTGAGTGTCAGCACATCGCCTCATTTCTTTTTCACTGTATATGCACTCATGGCTGAACCATCAAAAAACCAAATTACAGTCATCATAAAGTTTTAAAAAATGTTATCATGCCCTCCTGTTAGCAGTGAGAACATTATCCTATCCAGCTTCAGCGTCATCAGCTCCAGGAGCCTGAAATGGATGTTCAAATTCTGCCTCAAAAAATTCTTTGTAGTTGATTTTTCTTTTAAAAAAAAAATCTAGGATATAATAAAAAAACTACACATTGTATTTAATTGTCTTCATTTCCACCAATAGATTATCATTTCCTCTCTCTCTCTCTCTCTCCCTCTCTCTCTCTCTCTCTCTCTCTCTCTCTCTCTCTCTCTCTCTCTGTGTGTGTGTGTGTGTGTGTGTCTGTGTGTGTCTGTGTGTGTCTGTGTGTATGTGTGTGTGTATGTGTGTTCTTTCTTCTATGACTGGCATTACTAAAGAACCTAAGCTGATTTGTTTATGGGATATGCCCACATTCTGGAGTATTATATTCTGCTTATTGTGAGATTTAGGATAACATGTTCAGGGTAAGAATGTTCACAGTGATGATGTATTCTCCTTACATCATGTTAGAAAATGTGAATGTCTGATTGAAGATTAATCAGTGGGCTCGGGGGTTATCTGCCTGAGCCAATTCATAATTCATCATTAAACTCTGAGGTTCAACACACACACACACCATTTATGGAATGTGAAGTTCAACATGTATACTTCACGCCTTCATGTTATCAGAAGTCCACACTCCCCAACATTAAATCCTTTGCTGTGGAAGGTGAAGCGGTGTGAAAGGAGTCAGTTCTTTCCAAAATGATGAAAAGGAGCAGGAATCTTTCATTTGCAAACAATACATAGGAATGCTGGCTCATGGAAGTGTGTATGAGCCTACAGCCAGAGGTAAAGTGTGCATGCGTGTATGCACATGTGCATGCGTGGGTGCATGAGGGGGTGCTGTGTGTGTGTGTGTGTGTGTGTGTGTGTGTGTGTGTGTTTCTTTAGTGACTTCCCATTCAGACCCCTCGTTTACTCATTGAGCTCAGCTCATATATTATGAGACAGTGTCTCTTTACATAGTCCTGGGTATCCTGGAACTCACTCTGTAGACCAGGCTGGCCTTGAACTCTGAGAGATCATCCTGCCTCTGCTTTCTGAGTGCTGGGATTAAAGGCATGCAACACTATATCTGATTATTCATACATTCTTGTTGAGGGTGAGGTGACTACTAATGATTTTGGGGAGGCAAACATCTTAACCTTCACAGTAGGTTGTGTCTCTCCAAAAGAGATGATTAGGAATGAAGTATTTTTTTTTTTAGATCTTGATAATTTTAAATAAACAACATATCCACAAGCCTGGGCATACTGTGAGATCACAAGCCACACATTTTTATCCTAATAGATACAGATATCAACCATCTTAATAAGACATTTCCAATCTGCCCTCTGGGGTAAAGGTTTGAACTTGGGATGCACTGAAGAAACAGAACATTAGTCCTTCCAATTCTGTCCCCAAAGTGACCTACCAGCACCTCCTCTAGGTCTCACTTGCCTCTGGCTTCTTTTTGGATTCAGCGAATTGGTGGCAGCCAGACAAAGCTCTTCCTTCAAACAATAATGGAAAGGATGGATTGAATTGATCTAGATTCCTTTTCTGCTTCTTAGACTGTTGATCTTCTCTTCCTTGAATGTCTTCTTACTGCTTTTTTTTTCAGAGCTAGGATGAATGGAAGGAACTTCAGAGATTCCTAACTTATTCTTCCTAACTCCCAACCATGCCAGCAACATTCCAGGTAGAACCTGTTCTCTTTTTACAGATATTCAGGTGTAGATGTTCTACAGAATCCTCTATGTGACCCACTGAAACTTCTATCCAATCTTCTATCCAACCCAGGCCACATACTCCCCTCAAGCTCCAGGCTTTTCTCATGCCCTGTATTTGGAAGGTCCAGAGACTGTACAGCAGCAGCACATGCTTAACAAGAACATCGTTTGCACATTCATGAACTGTCTGAAGACTAAACCAGTGGTCCTTCAGCCTTCCTTCAGAATCGTCCCTGCTGTGGCATCCTCTCAGAAGTTTGCCATTCTACCATTAAGCGTGTCTATAGTTGAGCTAGAAACTCCTCCAAAGCTCTCCCTGTGTCTGAGGTATAGACACTGCACACTGTGAATCTGATAAGGTATCTCATGCCTCCTCCAGACCCTGCTGTGTTTCTGCTATTCTTGCTTTAAGAGAAATCTTTGGATTTTCTTCCCTATTTTAGTTGACTGTATGAAACTCTAACCAGGTTATGTTGAGCGATTCCAAATTTCCTTTCTTCCTACTTTTAACATCTTTCATCACAACACGCTGGATTTGGTTGAAATTTTCCTTAACTGGAAAACATTAAGGAATTTGATTTATGCCAGTCCACTAGTTACCCAGTCCATTGTCGCTGGTGAAAGCACATCATTTCCAATCTCTTAGCCTAAATGAAACCACACTAAGGAAAAGAAATACAGCATGTCTTCAAGAAATGGCAAAGGCATCATTTGGATAATAATGTCATTCTGGCTTTGATTATTTTGACTTTAATTCCTGTCTAGAATTAGCCAAACAAAGTATATTTTGGAAGTAATGATTTTTTTCCTAGTTTTAAAAATGTTTATAAAAAAACTTTTATAGCAAGCTATTTTCCTCTGGGCAATATTAAATATGGGTAAAATTTTTTCAATGATATGTAAAAATTTGTGTAACATAGAGGGTGAGTCATTTCTAATGAAGCAAGCTATTTTACTAGCTTCTAGTATTCTGCTTTCAAAGTTTTCCTGTTTCTTTTTTAAGTACATCTGAAAAATGTTAACTATATTTTCATTCCATTTGTGATTCAGTTAAGGGTTTGACTATAAAAAAGCAGACTAACATAATTAAATCAATTAGAAGAGCTAGATAAATCTAAAGAATATTTATGAAATAAATTTGTGTGTGATCTTAAGGATTCAAATGTCATGAATAAAAGCTACATAGCCACCTTCTAGTCTGTCTTCTTTACATGCCTAATTTATTTAACAAATAGTTCACCAGCCTGCAGTGTCCTGGCAAAGGGTCAATAAAAGGAAAATTGTTAATTTTATAAAAAGTAATTCAAAATTTGTTTCAATGCACACATGGACACATTCAAATTTTAACTAAATCCCTTTATCCTATTACAGTTTTCCAATAAGACGGTAAGTATAAAGCTTAGCTTCCCAGCAGACTAGTGTCCTTATACACATTTTCTTGCCATAGAAGTTAATGTTAATTTGATGGTGGTCTGATATATAAAGATGTCAGGTCTTTGCATGGCCTCCAGGACTTGGACCTGACTGGGGTGGTGAGGGAATGAAGAAAGAACAGGTATACCCACAGAGAGAAAGGCTGGGATTGGGTAGACTGGGCTCTCTGATGGAGAAACCACAGCACACGGTTCCAGAGAATTAGAGCCTATGACAGTGGAGAGAAGACATAGCAAAAGGTAACTGGGGCAGCAGCTGGGAGCGCGCACTTCTTCTAGATTATAATTATAATAGTTCTCCCTTTCCTCTCTCCAAACTCCCATATATATGGAGATCACACACCCACACACATACACACACACACACATATATAAGGGAGCTGCTGGTGTGGATTCTAGTGATATGGCCTTCTGGGTTCAGGAAATTAAATATTCCAAACAACTAAACACTTAAAATATAGGGAAAGAAGATAATTGGCTTGCTAAACATAAACATAGATGTTTCTTATATTTCAGAAAAAGATTGGGCAAGTACTTAAGATGACTATTACTTCTTTGTCTCTTACAGGCCTAGGTCAAGCTAATAATGTAGCCAGAAGGCCAGGAAAATCTAATGCTCCTATCTGGATCAAACAGTGGCTTTTAAATGCTGAGAAAATTATAATTGCTACCTGTCTGGTGGAGGAAAAACTTAAATATTGGGCATATAAAGTCCCCCACCAGCCCTTAAATCACCCCGATATCTTTGTATTTAGGAAAATCAGGCTTATAGACTGTTACAGGTCCTTTTAAAATTAAATAAAATTTATTAAAGCCAAGGAAAGTCTCACAGCCTGGCTTGCCATCTCCCAGGGCCATCCCCAGAAATCAAAAAAAAAAAAAAAATCGTCATAGAGATACAAGATTGCTTCTTTACCATACCTCATCAACCTAAAGATTGTCAGCATTTTGCTTTTAGCTTGCCTACTCACCCTACCATGATGGAGGCCAAAGCTGACATACAGAGCAGGAAATGCGAGTTCTGTTTATCCAGGACTCATTCATTGAGCAAAGCTCCTCATTATATACACAGATTAACTATCAAAACTGTCAATTACAGCTTCCTCACAGTAGCCTCTCCTCTGTCCCCGCTCACAGGAGACTACCCATATCACCTTGGCATACCCAGCTTTCCTCCCTCCTGTGGCCCCCTCGACACTCCCCCCACAGCCCATCCCCACTCCTTCCTGTCAGTTTCCAATTCCTAGAAACACTTGCTACACAGAACCCCCAGTGGCCACACCTGGCAGAGGCTCAGAACCACTACCTACCAGGCAAACCACAGCCACCACATTCTCCTAAGATCCAGAGAGGGCCACAAAAACCAAGAAGCAGAAAACCCACTTAATAAAGACAAAATCAGGTATCAACACCTACAACTACAATCATCCCAAACCCAAATGCCTACACACCAGTGTTAAAATACAATCAGTAAGGGCCAAGACAATGACTCCACATGGGCCCAGCAACCCTACTACATTCCATTAAAAAAAAAAAAAACACTGCTACAGCTAAACTCACATACTGATCTTCACACAGTGATAGTGGATCACCTCAATACCCCATTCTATTGTCATGCAGACAAAAACTAAACAGAAATTCTGGAGACATCATAAACCAAATGGACATAAAAGATGTTAATGGAATGTTTCACATGTCTTAGTGACTGTCCTATTGCTGTGACCAAGGCACCTCTTATTTAAAAAAAAAAAAAAAGGCATTTAATTGGGGCTGGCTTACAATTTCAGAAATTTAGCCCATTATCATCATGACAGGAAGCATGGCAACATGCAGGCAGACATGGTACTGGAGAAGTAGCTGAGAGCTACCTCCTGATCCATAGGCAGAAAGAGATGAGAGAGATTGAGAAAGAGAGAGAGATTTGGTTTGCATGGGCTTTTGGAACACCAAAACCCACCCCTTGGGAGACTCTTCCTCCAAAAGGCCA